CACCTACGAGGTAAGAGAACTTTGCGTCTAGACGCAACCATTCTCGCAGTGGTGGAAAGTGACCCAAAGCCTCCGTCTACTTTTCCCTATTGATTCTTAATCTATCGGGGAGTGTACAAGGGGAAATTGGTACAGAGGGAACCGAGGAACGATCCAAGTAGTATCGTAAGCGGCCGATTGTAGCCGATTTTCAACGCATTTCCTAGGTTATGCAAGAAGAAAGAAATAGGACATTAGAGTGCTAAGAAAAGAAAAACCAAACAATTCGAAGTGGGGAAGTACAGAAAAAAAATAACGACCAGCCAAAAAAAAACTTTTTTGAAATTTTAATTATCTTTTTTTAAAAAAACTTTGTTTTCAAAGTAGTGAACAAAACTTGTGAAAACTTTAGGTATGAAAACGCATTGATAGTGTATGACACGACAAAGTACTTGAAACTCCGAATTCACCAAGTGTGAAGTTGCGCTGGGGCTAATTAACGAAATCGGCTTATAGTTTGGGCCAATGTACACGCCTCCTAGTACGTGTAGAGTGTACTGGATCAGTGCTACTAGAGGTGGCTCTTTTAGAAGATTCAGGGTACGCGCGACTAAACGAGTCTATTTGGGAGTCTGGTGGCAAGGGTTTTTCTAGTTGTGTCGGTGTAGAGGAAGGTGGGTCGTCCTCTATATAAGCTGCCTTCAAACGATCGACACTTATAGAATCCTGCCGTCCAGATCTGTCAATGACGAAAAACTTTTCTTTCCTACTGAGAACCTTGAAAGGTCCGTCGTATGGTGGCTGTAAGGGTTTACGTACACCGTCACAACGCACAAAGACGTGAGTGCAATATTGGAGTCTTTTATCCAACTGCACCCGTTTACACTGTATCCGTGTGGATGAGGGTTGGGGGCGACGCATGTGTAACTTAAGAGTTTGAGCATAGCCATGGATATCGGTGGGAGTTGGGTCACTACCATCTGAAGCGACCACTTCACCCGGTAAACGTAAGTTACTGCCGTAAACTTACTCAGCAGGAGTACACTGTATATCCGTCTTAAGTGTAGAACGAATGCTGAGAAGAACCAACGGCAGAGACTCAGTCCATTTCATATTGTCGACTGCCACTAGTCCTCTTTAAAGGTGTCAGTGGAATCATTGTACCAAACCATTGGAAGCTGGGTGATACGCAGTAGTGCGGATGCGTTTGCATCCCAACAGATTCATCAGCTTCTGGAAGGTAACAGATTTGAACTGTTGGTTTCTGTCGTTTGTCACGGTGGAAGGGCATCCAAACTGTGAAACCCATCCTTCGACGAAGACCCGACTTACTGTTTCGGCAGTAATGTTAGACAATGGGATAGCTTCCGGCCAGCGAGTAAACCTGTTTACAAATGTCAGTAGGTAGCAATATCCATCGGAGGGTGGAAGTGGGCCACCAATGTCTAAATGGACATGGGCAAATCGTGAATCCGGTTTAGCGAAAGTTCCAAGCGGTGGGATTTTGTGACGATTCACCCTGGAACGTTGGCACTGAATACAGGACCATGTCCAGTTTCGAACATCACGGTTGATACTAGGTCATACAAACCTAGCAGATATCAGTTTGTCAGTAGCACGGATGCCGGGATGCGAAAGACTGTGCAAAGCATCAAAAACTTGCTTACGCAAGGGTAAAGGAACAACTGGTCTGGGTCTGCCTGTGAAGGTGTTGCATAATATTGTCACTTCACTGTTCAGGAGCGGTAAATGCTGTATCTTCAGAGAGGTTGAGTGTTGAAGTTTTTCAATCTTTTCGTCTGAATCCTGAAGTTCGGCAATCTTCCGCAAGTAGTAGTGGTGCAAACGCGAGACAGTGCATCCGCGACAGGGTTATTCGTACCAGAAATATGACGGATGCCTGACGTGAATTGCGAAATATAGTCTAGATGACGTAATTTACGCGGTGAATATCTGTCAGTGGTGGTGTGTAAGGCATAAGTCAGAGGTTTGTGGTCGATAAAGATAATGAAATCACGACCTTCCACAAAGTGACGAAAATGCTTAACTGAGGCATATATGGCGAGCAATTCCCTGCCAAAAGTGCGGTACCGCATTTCGCAGGTGGATAACTTCCAGGAGAAGAATGCAACCAGGATCCAGGTGTGATCCGAAAGTTGTAGCAACACAACTCCAATGGGCGTGTTAGAGGCGTCAACCGCAATGCTAAGAGGTAGGTTTACATCTTGATGCACCGGCATTGTGGCGTTTGCTATTGCGGTTTTGATCTTGCGAAATGAGTCTAGTGTCTCAGGAGTCATGCTGAAAGTTTTACGTTTACTTTTCAGCAGGTCGGTCAGTGCTGTGAAAATGTGAGCACACTGAGGACGAAGCGACGATAATAGCTCACCATCCCCAGAAACGTGCGCAGAGCTTTAAGTGACATTGGGACTGGAAAGACTCGGGTCGTCTGTATCTTTTCAGGTAGTGGGCGAACGCCTTGCTCGTCACTAACGTGTCCCAAAAATTTTAGTGAACAAACGCCAATCTGGCATTTGGCCAGGTTGACTATCATCGAATGCTCTGAGTCTGGCAAAAACCTGGAGGAGATCGCGTGACGAAGAAATGAAAGCATGAGTAGGCAGTCGTGGAGCCAGGTTAAAAAGACTGTAAAGAAGAGAGTGAAATGGCGACGTGCTACTGAAGCCCTATGTTCGACTAGGAACCCAAGTAACAAATAAAATAATAATAATCGCTACCTAAAGGACACATAATGTTTCTTTAGTGTTTTAGCATGCGATAATCAGACTAAATAAAGTAGTTGGCAGTAGTAAGTAGACCTTCTGCAGTTATGAATTCTAGGGCGAATCGATGCATAATTGGCGAAGAATGGCAAAAGCACGCAGCTAAGTAAAACAAAATGTGGGGCAAATCGGAAAAATGAGGGGTGGGAAGTAAAAAGCTTGGGGAAATGTTGCGACATTGCGCGTTTTTCATTACATTTTTCAATATGCCCCCATTTCTTGCTCAATGAAGATGTTGACTGAGACTCAGATATATTGCTGACGCCATAAGTGACCCCAGTTGGCGAAACAGAATCAAGCATTGGTGCTATAGGAAATGAAAATAGACGGTGTGACTTTCATTAATAGTAAAATTAATATACTGACTGTAACTAGTGTTTAAGAAAATACTAACTACCTGATGTACACTTGATTAGATGGTCAAACTGGATAATTCTTTCAAGAAAACTAATTAAATGCACCAGTTATTCATTAATCAAGAACAAATGCCCATGACTCAACCTTCAAGTAGTATTTTTTCAGTCGGCGATAGTACGAAGATAAGCAGGCAGCTATCAAATTCTCGCTAACAGATCTAACACTTAAGGTTTATCTACCATAAATAGTTTCATCCAGATACGTCTAAAACAGTGTCATTACAGTAGCTAATATATATATATATATATATATATATATATATATATATATATATATATATAGGCTGTCTCGAACCTGAAACAATGCAAAGCTTTAGGGCCTGAAAGTTTTCCATATGAAATTTTCAAGGATAAAGCAAGGCAATTGCTTAATAGAGTGACAGAAGTACCGGGTAGTGTATTGAAATCAGAGGTATTGTCATGAGACTGGTCTACTTCACTGATTTCCCTAGTCTACAATGGGGAATTAGTTTGACTAATATTGTGTCCAAAATTCTAGGATCCATAGTTGTCCGACTCTCAGGAACAGCAAACGCAAGAAAACTAGGCAGGTTTCACACCTTGACGACGGTGCAACGATCATATTTTCCCCTCCAATAGGTTTTGGAACACAGGCATACTTACCAGCAGACGACACACCATAATTCTTGACCTGAAAGCGGTATTCAACTTTGTCGGCCCTGAGGTTTTGTGGCACTGTTTGACTATGTAGGGGGTACCGAGTATATATTTAAAGCTATTCAAAGCTCTCTACTCAAACACGGGCAGCTATGTCAGAGCATATGGAGAGTTGCTATCTGAGTTGACGAGGATGCCAACTGTCACCACTACTATTTAACTTCGTTATAGACGTGCTAATGGACATAACCTTAGGCACGTCTGACTTCATAGGGCTTGACCTACTCCTTTCAGGTCATCTAAAGCATGCAAACGACATTGTCCTGCTGCGTGAAGACGCTGACAAATGCAGGCTCCCCTGAAAGTGTTGAGCAGAAACCTGAGTACGTTTGGCATGTGTTTCGCTGGCACCAGTCAAATGTAAGATGATGCTCCAGGACTGAGCTGCCACTACTCGCAGTGAAGTGGTATAATGTGTCCACCACTTCACTTTCTTCAGGAGCTGCATCAGTCCAAAAGAGCTGGTTGCTGACGAAATCTCAGCTCGGATACAGAAGGCTCATTTAGCATCTTCAATTTGCGTCGTCTATGGCGCTGATTGACGAGACATCCGACTGTTTATCAAAGGAGTAGTATATTGAGCTTTAGTTCGTTCTATCCTGTTGTTTTGCTGTGAGACATGCCGTCAAAAGTACAAGACATGAAGCGGTTACAAGTTTCTAATCACACCTGTCTTCGTAGCATTGCTTGCGTACAGTGGACTCACTATGCCAGCATTGTGGAGGTTACGCTTACGGTACTATACAAGGCAGGCAGGTCAGTCAATGAGGCTGTGAACCTTCATCGACTGACATGTCTTGAATATGTTTTGTGCATGCCAAGGCACCCCCTATCTCAACGTGCAATGGTATGCGGAACTTAGATCAGGTTGAAAGAGGGTTTAGGGTGGCCAGACCGAGACGTGGCACTAGTTGGTGAAGTTCTGGTTGGAAAATTTAAAATGAACGAAAAATGAGTGTTACTACTCAACACCAGAATATCGACTAATGTGTGTACTTAAGGTTATATTATGCTTCGGTGATAGCAATTCAACTCTTATGTGAAGAATATATAATGACAAATATAAGAATTACGTAATAAGTTGCATCTTAAACTTCAGAATAAACTTTTAACATGAATAATTAAAAAAAAGCGCTTAAGATTTTTAGGTACAAAGAGATTTTGTCAGTTTTGTAGCACAGATTACAATATTTTCAGGTGTAACTTCCGATGTTGCATAAGAAATAAACTGAGCATCAAAAAGCTTCAATTCATGCTTAATATACATAAGACGTCCCCAATCAATTAAACGTTTACATATTTTTCCAATTTTCATCTTGATGTTAACATCCAAACTGTGCCTATAAAAGAAGAATAGATTGATAACCAGAAACTAACAAAAGCCTTTATTTTTCAGTGTATTATTAGTGGTAGAATGAAAAAAAACAGTTATTGTGTTACGTTGGACAATGTTATGTTCTGAAAGCAGTCAAAGCATTTAATACAAAAAGAAAGATATATTTGAGCGCAATCGAAAGTATTCAATCCTATCTAATTGTCATGCATAAAACATTATTATTGATCTGACCATTTTACACCACTTTCACAGCATGATTGGTAGTTTATTTTCTGCCCTCATTTGTCATGTAACTCGCTGATTGGTTAATCCTTACTCTTATTATTTGAGTGACTCAGTTTGCGGACAAGGTCATATTTCATGTGTATATACAGTCACGTGTTTTTGAATTAATTTATCGACTATTATTTTAGGAGGAATAAACTCTCTCACATCCAGCTTCTGTCTTCTCTCTATTCGTCCTGGGATTGCAGTCGGTGGCTCTTGTGTACGAAGTTAGCTATCAGTTGAGCGTGCGTATAATATCCATTCGGAATATACAGACACTAACACCTGACTAATTATACAAATAAACACAGAATAGATTCTTAAACTTTAAAAAAGTCTGTAATAATTCACATCCTTTGATGACAGTAAGAGTTGGAAGCCGTTGGCTTAGCTAGTCGACTTCCGACTAATGGGTGATGGATTAGAAACCCGTATCATCTGTCAAAGTTTGCACTACCATTTAGTACCCAGTATTAACTCTTCTCTCACACAACATGGGTGTAGTTCATTGCCCACTAAACAAATGGTCATATATGGCTGTTGGACATATCGTTTTCCATTAGAATTATAACTTAGTGTTGAACAGCAGTAACATCTGAAGAAATATTAGTCTAACAACACTATCTAACTTCAAATACAGATAATAATATAATAATCTAGAGTGGGATTAATCTCAGATTTATTAATGTAATATATAACTACAAATTGAACTAACCGAAACTACTACAATACTACAACTAGCTACAACAGGAGTCAGTCACCTAACAATGAAGCCCACAAATGCATTATCCCAAAGTAATGGTATTACTACTAATAATAATAACAACGCGGATGATACATGAGTAAAACTTGGGCACTGTGGTAGATTGTAATCCCATTTTAGTCTGTTTATTAAAACTGTCACACAGTGAAGGAACAGTTTCATTTACTGGATAGCAACATTTCGGATACAATTTATTGTCCATAATCATATCAGGTAACTGACTCCACAACTTCGAGATAGAGTTTATATAGTCCCAATCTTCTCTCTCCTTCTCTGTGATGACAAGGATAGTAGAATTTTGCATATCTCTGGGACAGATGCAAAATCACTTCTATTACTCCACTTATATTCGGTGTTGATTCGATAAATACAGAATCGGTTATCAATCTCTCCCACGTTCCACTCAACTAAGTTAGTCTACAACGCTATCGCTCTATCCCACCTTACTGTGTGATTGTGTGTAATTGCGTGCACAGCTATAGCCGAATTCTCTCTTAACCCTGTTGCCATTATTACCATTGGTAGCGGAGTTATTATTAATAACACCTGTATTACTACTACTACCACTGCTAATATTTTTCTTTCCACTTCTTAGGAATTTATTGATAAGGTTAGGTGATTAATTATCGAGTTGCAGGGTATTCTTGATGCATCCAATTTCTTGTTGTAGATTTTCTAGTCTACTAGGCAGTGAACTAAGCCTACTCTAACTGAGATTAGGTGAGATGATTTGAAGTTAAACGGGAAGATTTCCTATCGACATTAGTCTCTAAACTTCCATCTGACGTTCGTTTAATCTTGCAATTCATTATTGCTGGCTCACTTTGATCAATTTCTAAGTCACAGGTAAATTGTATTGCATTCACCACTGAATTTATATATGTCAAGAGCCTATTGATGTGTTCCGATTTCAGTAGTGTAAACGTATCATCTACATATCGGAACCATATCTTTGGAGTAGGACTAGATGTTTCAAGGACCATCTGTTCCCAACTAACATTTACTCCTACTCCAAAGATATGGTTCCGATATGTAGATGATACCTTTACAGTACTGAAATCGGAACACATCAATAGGTTCTTGACACATAAATTCAGTGGTGAATGCAATCCAATTTACCTGTGACTTAAAAAGTTATGAAGGTGAACTACCGATGTTGGATTGCAAGTTTAAACGAAGGCGAGATGGAAGTTTAGAGAATAGTGTCTATAGGAAACATTCCCATTCGAATAGCTACTTAGACTTCGAATCCTCCCATCACATCTCAGTCAAAGTAGGCTTAGTTCACTGCCTAGTAGACTAGAAAATCTACAACAAGAAATTGGATGCATCAAGAATACCCTGTAACTCGATAATTAATCACCTAACCTTATCAATAAATTCCTAAGAAGTGGAAAGAAAAATATTAGCAGTGGTAGTAGTAGTAATACAGGTGTTATTAATAATAACTCCGCTACCAATGGTAATAATGGCAACAGGGTTAAGAGAGAATTCGGCTATAGCTGTGCACGCAATTACACACAATCACACAGTAAGGTGGGATAGAGCGATAGCGTTGTAGACTAACTTAGTTGAGTGGAACGTGGGAGAGATTGATAACCGATTCTGTATTTATCGAATCAACACCGAATATAAGTGGAGTAATAGAAGTGATTTTGCATCTGTCCCAGAGATATGCAAAATTCTACTATCCTTGTCATCACAGAGAAGGAGAGAGAAGATTGGGACTATATAAACTCTATCTCGAAGTTGTGGAGTCAGTTACCTGATATGATTATGGACAATAAATTGTATCCGAAATGTTGCTATCCAGTAAATGAAACTGTTCCTTCACTGTGTGACAGTTTTAATAAACAGACTAAAATGGAATAGTACGGATAATCTATGCTTAAAATTTTTGTAAAACGTCATAGCGTTAGAAAAAGCAAAAACATTTAACGTACTAATGGTAATACAATGATTCGTATTGAAGGGTATCACATGCAGTGTGCAGAAAGCGTGAGCCTATTTCGGCAGTTGTGTTAAGGTCGCTTTCAAGGTCACTGGATGTTATAATCGAAGCTGAACTTGAAAAATTTAACAAACAAATTATCTGATAAAAAAACAAATGTCATCGTTACGTTATAAAGGACTAACAGAGCTGTTTGACATTCGTCTTCTTTGCCACGTTTTAAAGCCTCTTTATAATCTTGATCAGTAGTGCTATGAATGAAATTCTCTGTGTGTTGAGTTCTACGTTCCATTCCACAAACTGCCCATGAAGCCAACAGAGTGATTAGGGAAAATTGATCAGGTGTAATCTTGGCTATCTTCTCTAACCAAACACGACCAGCTGTTTCATGCCAAGTACATTTATGATGGCAGCAGACAGCAAACATTATACCAGAGAGCCTGAATTTATTTTGAAAAAAGAAACAGATAAGGAAGAGAAATCATACAAGAAGTATTGGTAATTGTGGGGAATAAACATGAGTATTGCGCACGTAGCGACCAGAGATGCAGATATACAATACCAGCCTCATTTCTTGGTATTCTAGCAACTATACAGTTAATCAATTAAGTTTCACTACTTTATCCAGAAAGGTAGATATTTCGTTAAAGCAGTTTCTTGGATGGCCTTCAAAGTCACTCAGATTAAGACCGCTTGGAATAGCTGAAGCTTAACTAAACTTTAATGAGGACCAATTACATTCCAGTATTCAATGACCAATCAGAGTTCAGTATTGGGAAGACATCGTGATTCATTAGAAAAAAGCGGCACTTTATTTACACTTTAGAAATCTACTTCACATAAAAAATTTAAAAAAATTAAATTCTCAAAATGTTTGTTATAAGTGAAACTATATCACTATCTATGGTGCTGATCATCCCCTTGGGATTTAGGTACACGTGTTAAAGACTTTTAAGACGACTACATATATTTTCAACTTTGTTTGCATGCACTCCACTTTTCATATCAAAGAAGGCAGCCAGAAGCCATAGAAAGTAGTAAACAGAGAAGAAGGAGGATTAAGGCAAAAACTGAATTTAGGATGACGATTAAGATGAAGATAATACATGGATACGTACACCATTGACATCGATTCTGAGCCATGTCACACTGACTCTCTAACCACTAGTTCCTGTTCTTACGACGACCTCAAACAAGAAGTTCACATTCCTCTATACAGCACCAATCCCATGATTTTGTCTGACAGCTTCGAATCTTTTTCCAGAGTAACCATACTTCAGTCAACATCTTACAACGAAGTAGATGGTGACTAGGCATGTGTAACACATTCAATGTGAATTAGAATGGAGAGAGGGGACATCCTTGATGGACACATTTCACCTGATAATACCACAGACTGTAGCAACCCCATGGGTGTTCAAGTAGAGAGTCTTCCACAAAATGGCATACTTACCAGGCACTCCTTTCAGTGAGAGACATTGCCATAAGACCTCTTGATCGTCAGTGTTAATTATCACCTCCAAGTCAAGAAATATAGCCAGTAACAGGAATCGGCAGGTGTGTTTTTATACCAGAACCTGGTGGAGAGTGAATAACTATCTGATCGGCTTCTCCGTTACAAAGCACCGCTCATACGTATGAAAATTACAGAATCCAGAATCCCAGACATTATATTTGTCGGGTTGATTCCCTTGTGGTCATCACAAGGGGATTTCTCTTATTTCTTGAAGACAGATAATGAATGATTGAGACAAGTCAGAATGGATCATATCGGACTGCCATACACTAGCTAATAGTCCCGTAAACCTGATGGTCCCCCCTCACCACTGTTTGATAGACAGTTACGGTTTTCAAATATGCTTCTACGGTGGACTGGAGGTGGCATCAGATTATTCTGTTTCGATAAATGTCTAGTTAGTTTATCCCCAGACGCATCCTTAGTGTTCTCACCGTCGAGCAGCACTCGCAATGGTCTTGTTGTCATCGTTTTTATAGGTCCATTTGCATGCAGATATATAAGTGATCGAACCAATGCGTAGCCTCTGTCCAAACATATGCACCAGAAGGAGTAGCAGTATTCCACCGATCCTCCTCAGCGACGACTGATAGCAATATGGTCTACGTCCATCATCGAGTTGAGGTTGGTGGGCATCACATTGGAAAATGTCTCTATTTATGTCTGAAGTTCTTCCTGAGTAAAAAAAGATGGCTATCTGAGCACAATAGTAGCAGGTGATAGGATTCCGAAAGTACCGTCTAACTTTGCCTATCCCAGTAGATAGAAATCAACTGTTACAAAAATTGCGTCACAACGTCTGGCTTACAGCAGGAGGCTAAAATATTTTGTGTAAAACTTATTCTTCACTAAACTACAGTCAGTAAGTCAGCAAGCTGAAATAAGACACAGGCAACGACAAGTTTCATTATCCTTTTTGGTCCCCTGTGTACCGTTTTGTCGAACAGCACATAAGCGACATCCAGTTAAGAAGTGCATTGTTTACTCTAGCACTTAGTGCCATGCCAAAATATACAAGAGCCCGAGAACTAGGCGTGAATGTGAATACTGAATGTTTCGTTGTGTAAGTTGGAGCATGGTTTCAGCAGACTAGGGATGCTGTTCCGTGAACACAAACCGCTGTCAAAAGCTGCAAACCTCGAAGAAATCTAAGACGATGTAGGAATGTTGACCCAGAAATGTGAAGGAAGATTAGAAGGTAGGGGTGTGAAAGGTGGATAGTGGTCTGGTGGAACTTGAGTGACTGACAGAGTTGCAACGGCGATTCGCACTCCCAGGTTGCCTACACCATGGAAGGGTAGTTCTTGGTGAGATACTCAGTATATGACGGCAGAGATCAAGCGACATCCGCTTCAGGCCGGTCACATACGGCCCTTTTAAAAGGTTGAGATTTCGGTTTACTTTTTGTTAGGCCGACTAAAAGCCAACACCGCCAACAAAAGCGTGCCACAGGGTAAAAGGAAGTGTGCTACTTTCAGAGCCAACTTTCCTAACTCCTCCTTCCTATGGGGAAGAGAGCATCAGCGTGGATACTGCTGGTCATTCAAGGGAAACACCTTACTGGTGTCATCGCCCCCCCCCCCCACATAACCAGCAGCACAACTTCGCCCTTAAACTCCCATTATAGGGTAGCAAGTTACATTCTAATAGTAAGTGTTTTACGTTTTAGCACTATCTAACTGACCATTTTGGCTTGATAGAACCTCGAGAGAACAAGTGTTCCCACCAGTATAGCTAGTCTAGTCACCGTGATATGCAAGTTCGACTATAAAGTCAAGGTGGGAGCCACAAGTCAGCACATTACCTACTCTACCTAGAATGATATCCAGCTTACAGTGCTGATACGAATGAACTGGAGAGACTTGACTAACGTCAACCAGAGTTCCAGCTGATGCTACAAGTAGTCAAACAACCCAGTGTAGTAATAAAATCGTTATCTGTAAGAGGATTAAATGGGATCCTTGAGAAAATGATGCGGCTCTCAGAAAATCCTCTTCTCGTAAAAGTAAAGACAACAAAAGACTAAACCATATCTTTTCTCACTGTTAGGTACACAATCTAATGAAAACACTACATCCACAATCTAGACATCTAACAATTAATCTAAGTCTTTGTAAATGGCCAATAACGTAGTCTTGATCATACTTCATCTACAGCTTGTGTAGCATCAGAATATGGTGAAAGGACGTAAAATAATAACCTTGATATACAGTATCTGCAACCTGATTGATTGGTTGTCCTCAAGGTTTTCAATCACTAAAGCTTAAATTGGTTGGTTGTGGCTATTTGCGACTCGTCAGCTGGGTGTACCTGCCTCCCAGTGAGTGATAGTATTTCCGCTGGGATTCAAACTCAGGAGCGATCACTCCAAACGCCAGAGCGTCAACCACCGAGCCACGATAGTCACTTCTTGTGCGACGGGTATAGGTTCAATGTTATTGCTTGTATTGGTTGCTAACAGAGACTGATCAATTCGGTCCAATCAACGAAGGTGCAATACAGGCAATAACACTATAAGCTAAATTTATATACACAAAATATGTATGGATAAAAGCATTATTACTTTAGGTAATGTTTATCAGATAAGTTTGAAGTCCATACACCTTGTGCACCATACAAACAGCCATCTATTAATTACATTTTCTACGAATGAGTTTAGAAGTGTTATTGTTGCGAAGACAGGTGTAAAAGAACGAATGTGTATGGTCAACAGGTGGGACAGTGGTCGTTAAATATGTCAAACCTTGGACTAAAACCATCATTTGCAAAATATGCTTCATTTCCTCTTCTGCTTCTTTCTTGATTTGCTCTTTATACGCCTGCCTTGTCTCTTGCATCACCTCTTGACGGAATCCTTACCTATTGCTGGTAATTCCCTATGATTTCTGATACCCTCTCAACATATACTACTTATATCTATTCATATCAGCAACACCCACTACAGTAGCACAACTGACGTACAATCAAACCACAAAGTATGCAATATTCCAACTGAAAGTAGAGTTCTAGGTAAACCATTTGACAAGATTGTAAGCTTGTAATGACAGAGTTGGTTAGGATATATATAAAGCGGAGCAAGATATGACTTACTCTCATTTGCATCGTAAATTGGAAAGAGATATGACGTCGGACTGTGAAGTCATTGACTATTGATTTAAGCCAATTAAGAAAATCTGGATTATGTGGTTGATACCTCTAAGATGGTAAGAACCAATCAGTTGAAGGCCTTAGGTAACACAAATCTTGTTTTTCTGTCTCTTTTTTTATAATCATTTTCGCTAGTTTTTCTACCCCAACTCAGAACCTTCAGGTTTCACGGCGAATGCGTAAATTATTCAGTCTCTGAGTTAGAGTTCAGTGGTTTTCCAACTGATGTCAGTCTGTGATTAATACTACCTCAAAATTCAAATACCTACTAACCTTATAATACATTACTGTATAGTGCTCATTAGTGACGTGCTTCGAGATGGACATCTGGAAGTTCTAATGAGAAGCCGTGACCTGTGGGGTCAGCCAGTCGGAAACGAAGCGGATGCTAACTGAAGACCTTGAGTGATAGTCACGCTATATCACCAACTGACAGAAGTAGGGAGCCGTGAAGCACTGAACTGAGTTTGCTTTGAACCCTGAAGGTCTCAAGTTTGTGGGTGCGTACTTCTGAGCAGTCCCATACAAGGAGGAAACAACTGTCCAGTGCTTCAAGGTTTTCAATGGTTCTCCAACTGAAGTCAGTCTGTGATGAATGCAACATTGTTTATTTAAAAATACTCACAAAGACTTTGTAGGAAAAGTGACGTAATTTAATGTTCCGTGAACTTACTCGAATTTATGTTCACCGTTCTTAAGACAACGGAGTGATAAATCTAACGATACGGAATAAAAAGACAAAAGAACATATAGAAAAATGATAATAATAATCGGGAGAAGGAAAATGTTCGGAGGCGAACACAAATGACGAAGTCACACACATACATACACAGTGAGTTCTGAAAGTCCAAATTCGACAACCAACAACTCTGAATGAGCATCAACATCCCAGGAGAACTAAGTGTAAAAAACGACCAACCATGCTAATCGGTGACTGGAACACAAAGCAAATTATCCAGTGTTATGACCAGTAGTACGATCTAACAGCCTACGAACAGTGTGAACCTAAAGCGTAGACGAATCGATTCTAATGCAAATGAGGATATCAACCACTACAACAACAATACCACCGACGAGCGAGGACAGACCATTAATGGAGAGCGTTTTACTGTCTCAACAACAGTCAATACAGTTGGCAGAGATGCTGAATATATACATTACCAAATGACCTTGACAAACACTAAATCCACATATAGGTAAAAATAGTTAGCAACCAATGAGAGCTCAGCCTTGGGAGCAGAGTGAAGAAAAATTAGTAACGGTGTGAAAACAGACATGTAGGTTAAGGTCATGGGCAAAACAGCAGGCAAAAGCTATACAAATTAGAGATATATAGCATCCAGAAAAGCTATCTAGTTGGCTTTTGATATCAACAATTTTCACATGATTGTTTTATGCCCCAAGATTGATTGGTTATATTCGAGTGGATAAAACTGTAGTCTTGTATATAGTGGTCAGAATTTACTGATCATCTATTTACATTCATATTAGACTGAATTGATTATTTGTTATCTGTAAGTCAGATCATAATTATTTCCTCTTATACGCATTTCTACAACTTACAAGATAGTCTACTCAATGTATAGGAACAGTTGAGAACAAGTTTTCATTTGTTGTTTGGTACTTGTAATTTTCAGTTGCTAAACTGGGTTAAATTGCTCGACCTTCCCTCAATAATACCGTATATTCATGTCATGTTATATTCATCTTGATAACTAGTAGTAAAATCGAGGATGCGCGCGTTTTGCTAGTCCACTTCAAACATGATTACAGATCAGCATAACGAAGAACAAGTGTTTAAAAAAGACTTTCAAATAACGAAATATTATAAAGTATTCGACACAAAGAAAGGTCCTATAGCAGATGAAACTGGCCGCAGTGAACACTAAAAGAAGATATTTACAGAAAAATGCGGAAAAATTAATCCCAAAAGGTGCGGATGCCCTTGGATTACAACTCTTCAGGTTATCAACGATTTCGTAGGGCAGTAAGTGCAATGAAATACACTGCTGCTAAGTAAACTTGATCATAAGACAGTTAGATCTCAGACTATACCACTTATAGTATAACACAGTAAAAGACAAGCTTGTCTTCTCCAACGATGAATAAAGATTCAGTAATCAATCCTTCCCCCAAATAAATATATTGTACTCAGGTACATTGGACTTATCTGAACCACCCTATTGTGTGGTTGTGTGTATGCATTGCAGTAGCCGAAGTGTTTTCTACATTGTTTATGTTATTCAGGTCTGTCATTCTATATTTGGGTAAATTCCTATGTTCCGCTATTCTAACTGAACCCAACATATGAACTAGCAAAGGTACTTAGCATCAATATTGTGCCCTATTTGGAACCGCTCAAATTTCCAGACTAGTAAACTATTATGAGTTAAAACTAAGGTTTAATGACCTGCATATAGAAGAGGATGAAAAAAAAGTCAGTTTGATGTAACAAGTCTTTATACTAAAGTGCCAATCAATATGACACTGGAGGCAGTCAGAAGTTAACTAAGTAGTGACTCAGAAGTGAATCAGGGAACTAAGATATCGGTTTATGAGATCATATTAGGCGTACAATTGTGCCTGACCTCCACAATCTTCAAATTTTAGAGCAAACTATGAAGACAAACAGAAGGAGTAGGAATGGCACGGCCAATATCCCCAAACGTAGCATACATATTTATGAACGGTCAGAAAAACATGGCGTTATGAACGTTTAATCCTGTACCAAAATTACGATGGCAGAAATTCGACCTCATACAAGAAATCGAAATGGTTCATTTATGGTTTCACTTTCTGAGAGTTTTGTAAATACATATATGTCATGTATTTGCCTAGTAAAAGTTGTCGTTGTTCTTGCAGTCACAGACCGTCTTTTGTCTTCTGATTTTACGCAGCTCAGTGAAGCACAAGGTACTGAAGGAGGTCAATCGTAAAGGTATTCGCTTGAGGTGTCTATTGAGTTTCAGTATCATTATACCCACGCACGCAACCTCACCACTCGGTCACAACGATATGTTGGTGACACACTTACTGTGTTTAAATCGGAGCATATCGACAATTTCCTCACACACACTCAGTAGTGGAAGCAATCCAATTCACTTACGAGGTAGAAAATGAACAATGAGAATTACTTATGTTGGATTGGAAGATGAAATTAAGAACGGACCGTGGTTTGGATACCACCGTCTACAGAAAACCGACACATTCCAACAGGTATCTAGACTTAGGGTCATCTCATTCAATGTCATTTAAGGCAGGCTTAGTCAAATGTTTAAGTGATAGAGCTATAAAACTGACTAGTCAGGGCAGGGACCTAAACAAGGAGGTGAAGCACATAAAAGAAGCACTAGTAGTTAGCAATTATCCTTCCCAGTTAATGAAGGAATTCGTACGAACACACAAGAAACGAAAAGATAACAGCAACATAAGTATGAATAATAACGACAACACGAGTAGGAAAGAGTGTTACTCTATAAGGAAGGTACATCAGGTGTAATCCTCAACAAAGCTGGAATTAGAGTGACTTAAGGATCCGATAGAATCAATTAAGCAAAATAATCGAATCTATCAAACTGCATGTTATGACTGTGAGTCAGGTCAAGTACATAGGTCAAACTAGTCAGTCGGGATCAGTTAGAATAGCTGAACATAGGAAGTTATCTAAATATAGAATTACATACCTAAATAAGATCAATAATCTAGAAAAGCACTCGGCTATTGCTATGCATGTCTAAACACACAACCACATAATAGGGTGGGTGGGATAAAACCAATGTACTCAAGTCCAATATAGTTAGTTAGGGGGAGGGGATTGATTACTGAATCTTTGTTCTTCGAACCAACACGCACCCATCACATGTAATAGAAATGATGCAACACGTATACTAGAGATACGGAGAATCTTACTAGCAATAAAAGCAAAGAATATGAGGTGACGTAACCATAAAAATCAGATGTTGAAAGTGCTGAGTGATTCCATTGATATGATTATGAGCAGTAATAATGTATGCTTGAAACGTGGTCATCAAGTAAATAATACTATGAAATAGTGGGGAATATTTGTAGCTCAGGTGGATGGTCTTGGTTGCATTGTGTTCTCGGAGCTGGGTTCTTTAATCGTGAAACTTTCATCGTCCTTCTAGACAACATCATCAGCACTAACTTCAGTATGAAGTGACCTGTCAATATCTCTCCGTGAGCGTTTTAGTAGCTTGTCTTGACAAATTGGTTTCTGATTGGTTGTTTCCTTTGATTGTTGTGTCATTGACTGTATAGATTTTCCTGTTGGCTATCCCCCTGCTTGACCTCTGACCTTTCTGTCGTTTATCATCTTTCTTATGGGTTGATAGATTGGGTCTGTGTCTATACATCTGTTGATTGCTGAGCTATGCGGTAACCAGCAGATGGTGGTAACATAATGCATTCTTCTATAGCCTCCCTGGCCTTACCTTTACAGTAATGTAACAAGTATAACAGCCTCCGTCCATCATCATCAACCTTAGAGACAACGTGGAGCTCAAACTGCCTCATAAACTTCAATATTTGGCTAGATGTCCGTCAAAGCTGCTTAATTCTACCTTCGGCAACTCATGGCCGATATTGACAAAAGACAAAGTAGCGGCAACCCCTTTGTTTTCTGCGCTGCTCACCTGGCTAGTCATTTCAGGATCAAGCCTGCTATGAGGGTCAATACCAAGACAAACTGATTTGTGACACTTTATGTCATCATCCAAAGAAAAGGTATCACCTAACCCCCCATTCACATCTAAGTTTAGTTCTTTATGCAGACGCAACCTTTCTTGTCTTTGTTTAGCCTTGAATTCACGAAGCTCTAGCTCTTGCCTTTCATCCAACTGTCATACCATCAATTGAGCAGAGGTCTTACAAGGACTAGTCTTACTATAGTCAGTAACTGTACCATTATCAGAGCCACGGCATGAAATAACATCATGAGGGACTTGCTTGGTATCTGAAGTTGGATCCATGGACATGTCGCCTTTACCGTCCGGGATAGACTCAAGGAACACCTTGCGCTTGCCAGGTACAGCAGTGACGGGTTGTTGAGTACCTTCGTCCAATGTAGTGTTAACTACAGTTATTTCAGTTGATTTTGTAAATGATATTCAATTTGTCCTCTTTGGTTGTTGCATCCTTTGGTCTGTATAATAGTGTTTGGAGGGAATTTATTGGTTTATGAGTCACATCAATTTCAACAAGTGGTCCCAGTAATCTTGTCATGATTTCTGATATATTCTTTGTGTATGATAGGATGATACGTTTATTGATTTCTGCCGATGACTTTGTAATTGATGATGTAGGGGATAGGCGTGTTGTGATAAAGTTTCGTGCTGATGATGTCGTCTAGAAGGATGATCAAAACTTCACGATTAAACAACCCAGCTCAGAGAAAACAATACAATCAAAATAATACTATATCCAACTGTGTATTATGAATCAAATAAACAAATTTTAATATGGAATAAAATTCTACAACAATGCTCAAATTTTACACTTGTATTAACTCCAAACACACATTTCTTTACAGCCATTTTGAAGAAACTGGATATGCAAAAGCAGATGGAGAAGTTATAATGAGTAACTTGATCAACTTTTTGGATAACACGCCTATAGGCTATCAGAGGACAATGGAGATGAAGATGCAGACCGTTAGTCGTTTGTTAAGGCACCAATAAGTCTCAACTTCGGCAGTTGCTCACAAAATCTCAGTTGATATTGATCTACCCATAACATGAGTTGAGGGATTTAAAACACTAGAAATGAAATTGAGTGAAGATAATTTTCGTAACGGCTTTGTAAGTCATGCAGATACACTGAACAACTTTTTTTATTATTGTTATTATTATTATTATTTGTCCCTTGGGTTCCTAGTAGAACATAGGGTTTCACTGGCACGTCTCAATTTCACTCTCTTCTCTGCAGTCTTTTCAACCTGGTGCCACAACTGCCCACAAGCTTTCATTTCTTTCTCACAAGATCTCCTCCATGTCACCCTTGCCTCGGACGCCCAACTCACCGTTTCCCATCTGAGTTCCACTCGAGTGCCTGACACGTGATATCTTCGAATGGTCTTCACGGTGCATGCCCAATCCGTCTCCACTTCCTTCTGCATATTTGTTGAGCGATAGATTCTTGGTTGGTTCGTTCCCAGAGTTCCTTGTTGCTTATTCTTTCTGGCCATCTAAGCTTCAGTAACGAGCGTAGTAAACGGAAATATACAACCTCATTTATCCAACGTACGTAATTTGCTTATTAACACAGAGTAAAACTACTTTAGATGCGGCAACCATCTAACATCATAATGTTGCTACCAGATAAAACAAAGCAGCCAAGCATATTTGCAACACCATCTTAGATACCACACCTTTTTGATACTATCTCTGGACCATTGTAGTTAAATAAACTTATTATAGCGCAGACTGAACCCTGTGTCAAAAAAATTGGTCGTGTCCTTATTTTTCAGCAAAAAGGTAATACACTGCTGAAAAGACCATAGTACATTGTGTAGGACTTTGAAGTCTGTCAGCAAAGTTTGTGGGGTAGCTACGATTACATCGATTAACTCTATGGGTGACAGCTACTTGAAGTTTCGCAAACAACTTATTACAGTCATTTAAATACATACTGAACATCCATTTTACACAGTTTTCTTCCTGCGAAAGAAAACAAGCAAGTTTATACAACTTTATCTTCATGAGGTCAATCACACCAACTTAACTATACTCTACTCAGCACCCATTGTTATGATTATTATCGACAGTGTTATTATATTCGTCAAGAGTTTGAGGTCATCTGCTCTACGAATAAACAAGTAAATCTTGCTAACTGCCATGTTTTCCACTCTACTTTCCCTTATAGCTGTCTGATATATCACTGTTGTCTTTTTCAATTCACTGACTTTTGCCACCTATCTACTGTTACTCATAATAACTGGCAAAACTCAGTGTCAATTCAAACTGAAGTTGTTCTCATTATGATGATTTCCAAACAAGTATTCATTTAGAAGAAGCTGTTGATGTCTACTGGTATTCCCTAATTTCATGTAGAACTTGGCTTTTATTTTTACAGTACACCAGAATTCTTGTCATTATGAGTTACTTTTCGTAACAACAGACTAGTCAATTCCTTGATACTTTCATAGGCAAAATGAGCTGAGGAAGGCATTCCAGCTGTATGTTTTCCGCATTCAATCATAACATACACGTGCACAAACCTCAATTCTAAGCATATGTTCTAAAAAGTAAGGGCCATCAGTCAACCACCACTTCTCTCCAACCTTCACCGACCATGATGTATCATATCTCCACCCACTTTTGAGATGACGTCAAATGACGGTAGCCAGTTTATTTCTCTATTTCTACAGTAAATACTTATTTCAAATAGATGGATGTCAAATGAAAGTGGCAGTAAGTGATCAACATTGTAGTTCTTACAGGTAAGTAGTTTCCTAACTGTAGTGTTAACAAGGTTTTCGCTGGAAACCAGTCAGCCAAGATCAAAAGATGTGATATTTGACACAAAAGTGTCATGAAAAGTCGAAAGATACTACTACTGAACAATTTGAGTAGTTAAAAACTACTCTTTTTTTTACATAGGTTGTATGTACAACGGGTTTCTGTTTACACCTCTTATGAGTAGTATATCTTTATACTTAGATTTTAAGCAAGTTTAAATAAATTATAGTGGAAGACATTTTCTACTCGTCTGAATCATGTACAATTCAAAAGGATATCAGCATACATCATGATGCATTATAAGGAAATACTTGTTAGATACGTTGTTCGACTAATTGGAATAGTAATATCATTAAAGGCTCACTGACTACTGACAAAACCAACGTAGAACCTGACATATTAGCGCGTCAGCTCAACTTCCCATACATCACACTAGTACACAAAGAATAGATGGATAGAAAAGTAGATGAAGTTGTATGAGAGAATGAACAATCTGAAGATAACGGTTAGTGCAAATACTCAAACTTTAGAAGATGTCAAGAAGTGAGTACATCTGCGCCATTGTAACCGATCTGTAGCTGTCACCAAAAGTCCTCAACTACTGATTACTTTTGTCTCCGAGACCCAAGTGATGCACTTTACAACTGTCCACACGGCTCAACAAAGAATCAGAGACTTTAACGACTGGTGCCAGGTCTTGGTCTAGCCGCCCTGAACCCTCTTGGAAATTAATTCAAAAAAGGAAGGCCTGCGCATTCAAGTTACAAGATGGTAAACTCCATGATATCTCCTACGTGAATCAACTCAAGAGATTCATCTATTTGATGTGAAAAAGTAGGTTTTAGTTACATTTAACCTAAAAAAATATAAAAATGAAGATGTTTTGTGATGTAGTACATAAGTCACAACTTTCTTTAATCGGTTGAGATGGCTTGGATATATACCACTCACGCCTACCCACCACCTAACTCAATTTGTCATGCTAGAAGAAGGAAGCATAAGAAAATGTGATAGATGATGTCAAAACTGAGACAGAAATAGCCTCAGCAACTTGGTGCACGCTCGTGTAGTAGACGATAAAAAAGAACGCATTCAGTCAACTTATGCATATGTGTGCAGTAGTAGCAGTGAGCCACAGTTATTGTATGAGGGCTGCTGATGCCGTTGGTCCCTCGAACCTGAACAAGTGGAGCGGGGTCAACGCCATGGCTCATTGGTTGACACTCAACTGTCTAAACCAATGAGTCACACCTTCAGTAGGCGATGATGTACTCTTTACCAACTGAATTAGCATGAGCTATTCTTTTAACCACCATATTGCTACATATTCTGATCATTATTACGAACAAGCAGGGTAGAAGTGAGTAGAACACAAAATTAGGGTGTACAACATTTAAAAATTACTCACCTGTAGCATCACCACACAAGTGTTTAGCAACGGCGATCACTGGTCGTTTATTCTGTTGAATAAGTGGTACAAGACCTGAGAAAATCGAAACAACTCGAGATTACTTCACAGTTTCATGACTAGTCAATACTACTGCTAATTTGTAAGTAGTATAACCATTTACAATATTATTAGACAACTTTAAATTAGTATAGATTTAGAAATGATGGGTAGTGGATAGGAGTGGAATTCACGATGCAAGTTTCGTCCTCTTTGGGACTCGTCAATTGGATATACTTGCCACCAGCGAGTGAAGTTACAAAATTCCCCTTGAATTTCGCCACGTACTTACTAAATACAGCAATAGTGATATATACCAATATATACAACGTATTACTGACTAGGACACTTCTGTCTATTAAAAGCAGTTCACATGAATTTCATCTGACTAGCTACCAACGTCTACATAGTCCTGAATTATTCCACCAAATTATCGGGAATCTTACCGACAAATCTGTGTTCAAAGGATCCTATTATCAGTACTGATTAAAACCAGAAATATTCATAGGAAACAGTATTATTTCTGTGATACTTGTACAGTTGATCTGCGGTACCGACCTCTTGACTTTCAAAACTCATCCAATCCAACCTTAACAGAGATGTTACCGAAGACTTTAACCTTGATGTTAGTTTTATGCCAGGAAAAAAAAATACAAGGTCAGTTATCACGCTTACAAAACAATTTGAGGAATAAGAGAATGCGAAAATGTTATAAAAACGAGTAATAATTTCTACCTAAAATGTATACAATTCCCTGGGAGAATATGTATGAGTCAGTAAACACCATGATAGTCTGCGGATCTTTTTCGATAGGAACTTCCGTTTTCAAAAGTTTTATATGCTATACGAACTTGACTATTCATCAGCACGATATTGAAGTTAGTCTAGGCGTCATCTTCAAAGAAACTTTGTAAGAAAGTATTTCGGTTACGATGAATGAGAATTTGGAAAGTAGCTAGCAGTGGAGTCAAGGACGGAGGTTTCGTCTTACTCGGGACTCATAAGTTGGATTTACACGTCTTCCAGTGAATTATTTCATTCCCACTAGGCTCGATCTTCAAACGCCTGAGCGATATCCATTAGGCAAGTGAGTCACGGTGGCGACTCTTTTTGGAACGGGTATAAGTACATAATCCTTTTCACACGAAACTTCACGTTTGAACGGTCAGGTTACGTAGAGCTATCAAGATAATTTTAAAACCGTTCGGAATTAAATTCAAAAAGAAGAACATTCATTCTCATAGTAGATCTACAATAATGAGGGGTTCGATTCGGAGTCCCATTTCGTAAAATGTATGCACTTGCATTTGAGTTGTGTTGCCACTGAGTATCCTGATGCAGTGTGACAAAAATCCTCATTAAACAGCTGCTAAAATATCTAAAAAAGATTAGTACATCGAAATATTCTACTGATGACGAGGAACTCGAAGGGTGACAGAATTGTGAAGGCAGTTGACATATCCCAGTTACCATACCAAGGAAAGCTATTTCTTCTTAAGGTAGCTGAAAAAGAAGGGCTTCTAAGTGACTACAGAGCCCAAGGAACATCTGCCTGAGGCCCACCACACACAAGGTTTTTGCAAATTTGAGATTTTGGTTTGTGGCATTCGCATCAAAGTATGAACTCATGTCATAGGCATCAGGCGTGCAGCAGGAATGTGCTATTTTAGAGCTGGTTTTTTCTAAATGCCCACTTCTCGTAGAGAAGGAAGCACTAACGCGGTACTGATGACATCGAAAGGGAACACCTTACAGTTGTCACACCCCATCCATTCAGCATTACAACTTCACACTCAAACCCAAATCAATGTTGTTTTGTCTAACCACTATCCAAAAGACCTTTCTGATATGACAGGACCTCGAGGGAACGACCGTTCCACCAGTATAGCTCGTTACATTATTGTGATATGCAATGCACAGGTGGGTAGACTGAGTGAAGCAGGAAGGCACTGAGGTGGCACTTTCGGAGTCCCGGCTGAACGAACAGATAACGGTGATCGCCAACTACAACCGTGCTCAGATAACCGCCTATTTTTAGCTAGCACGAATTTCCGACATAAAAAAAGACTCTGTCTGACGTGGCGTCCACCGAGCTCAACTTAAAGATGGACACAGAAAGACTTCATTGCTATCAGCCATCGCTGGAGAGGAACGGTGGAAGACTCCCGCTTCTTCTAGAGTACATGCTTAAATAGCGACCACGCGTTGATCCGAGCGCGTATGTCTGCGTCTCAATGGACGTAGGAAACATTTGGCAACAAATCCACTATGAGTGTTGCTGGACAACGAAAATACCAAAGCCGTGTTCAGTGAGAAGTTGGCTAGGCAGTTATCGGAACAGAAAACTACCACTCATCCAGAAGAAGCTTGGTGTCATCTCCAGTGTGCTGTAAAAGCAGTGATGAATACCGCAGCCGACTCCGAAAGAGTCCCTAAAAAGAGACAGTGGATATCAGCAGCTTCTTCCGAACTAATGGATGCACATGAACGTGGGAAGTAAGATCAGGCCTGGTACCTTGGTAAATGGCCGATGAAATCTCTGCATGAATACATAAAGCTCGACTGGCTTTTATCAATTTAAGCCACCTGTCGCGCAACCACCATATCCCATTGTCTATTAACGGTCGCATGTGCTGCACAGCAGTCCGCTCTTTTCTACTGTATGGCTATGGAACATGGCCATTCAAGGCGGAAGGCATGAGAAGGCTTCAAGTGTTCGACCACCGTCGCCTTCATAGTATACGCCTTATTCTGTGGTGTCACTGTGTGAGTAACACAGAAGTCCGGTGTAGGGTTTTAGGGAGTAGAGATAAATCAATTGACGAGGTTATGAACCTTCATCGACTGTGATGGCTGACTGGGACACGTGTTACGCATACCTAGTTGCCGATTGCCTCGTCACACAATGTTGACCGAAGTAGGTCCAAGCTGGAAAAAGGCCCAAGGTCGCCAGACTAAAACATGGCATCAATGCATGAAGTCCTTCAGTGTTCATTCGAACCATGTGGGGCGATGCAGACTGGTCGGTTGGGTCCACGGGACAAGAGAAACCAGTAATTGGAGACTCTAGGTGGTCACATAGCTCAGAACAGATGTCAGTGGTGCACATGTATGCACACATTATCCTCATCTTAACGCTGTATCTAACCCATCATCTTCTCATTCTTCTTTTCTCTCGTTGAGTTTTCTTTTCTCCATCTTCTACTTCACTCCCTTTTTACGTTATGTACTGATATGAGGTGTGGCAAGTCGGACCGTTACGCAGTAATGCCTGTTTCTATGTTGATTTAGATGGATAGTGATATGCAAGCCCGACCATCACTTCAAGATAGCAGCTATTCGTTTAGTCTACTGATGACGCAATAAGCGAATAAATTAAATTCAGAAAGGAAGCTTGACGGGGATGAAATAATTTGCATAAATTTACTGATCAAGATGGATTTTTTTTAACTACTCAGCTTGTCCAAGAGTAGTTGGCTGGTCATAATATATATCCGTTACATCCAGAGTTATTATTATTATTATTTATGATTTGTCCCTTGGGTTCCTAATGGAACATAAGGCTTCAGTAACACGTCTCCGATGCGCTCTGTTCTCTGAAATCTTTTGAAACCGGCTCCACGACAGCCCACAAGCTCTCATTTCCTCCTCGAACGATCTCCTCCATGTCACCCTGGGACACCCAACTCGTCGCTTCCCATCGGGGTTCCACTCGAGGGCCTGAGGCATGATATTCCCAGTCGGCCTTCTCAGTGTATGCCCAATCCATCTCCACTTCACATCCAGAGTTAGGTAACCGAAAAAGCTTTACTTACAGAAAGCACTAACATGAAGCTTCTGCAGTTTGTAAAAGATTCGGAAACTTGTCAAGTCTATTTCATATATTCCTCTTTTTTTACGTGTAACTATGACATTTGGTGCTCCATATTCATGTTGTTTGACAAACATCTTCGTTCTGGAAAAAAAGTTCCTTCTATATTTATCTATTGTACTAAGATACTGATTAAGTCATTAATCCATGTTCTAAATGGTCTAGCTATGGCCTTACCTGAATTTCGCATGGTCAGTAATGCATATAAGGATTAAGACATGAGTAGACTGAATTAAATGTTCGAGCAAAGGTGACTGATAAAAGTCTATTAGTAGCAAATACTAAAATAACAAAAATAGACAAGAACACTCACTAAGATCAAGGTCGGCTATGTTTATTCTGAGACGTGTGAAATTCCCTTCATCCCCCTGGCGTTTATCCATCTAGTTAAAAAAAAGGTAAAGAGAAACAAGAACTAGAGGAGATTACATTATTTTGATGAATCAGGTAAAAGTGGTAGTCAGTAAATAAAATAAGACTGCAATTACATTAGTCTACACATGAAGGGACTGGGTTACTCAATCGTTCAATGAACAGAAAAACTACAACCATCGAATTAATACATGCCAAATTTGTGTGTGTATACTGATTGGTCACAGTGGTGCAACCAATTTTATGTTGTCTAGTCCTGAGTACAGATAGAATCCTATCGATCATATTTATAATGTGGCCACCAAGCTAGAAGGTTCAGCATTGCGGTGCATATTAGATGTTAGTTGGTTGGAGGGAATCAGCAGGAAGCTCTAGACAGCAAATTAGTTGCTCTTCCGTGACCAACCAATACATGTAACTCAGTCCTACAAGAGTCAATCGCGGTCCGAATACCTCAGTGGTAAAGTCGCTGACTACAACACTGGGTAACGCAGGTTCGAATCTCAGGCGGGATATCAATGCCTTCAAGGTTGCAGATAAGCCTTGCTGACGAGTGCCAACAAACACGAAACCTAGGTACATGGCTTCTTGCCGATTGCCTTTAGCCAACAAGTGTATGTGTTTCCATGAGTTCATATTCAGACAACAGATAAATACAAACAATAAACTTTGGTGATTTTGATGGATAGTGGCTAATAATGGAGTCCAGGACGCGTGTTTTATTCTATTTGAGACTCGTCAGCTGGGTGTGTATACCTGCCAGTGAACGATGTTATTCCCACTAAGACTCGAACCCGAGACTGACCGCTTCAGACGCCAAACCATCATCCACTAGACTACCGAGTCATGATCAACCACGGGATAATACAAGTAACAACATATAAACTATACTCGTTGCACAAGAAGTCGCTATCAAGACATGGCGTTTCAAGCGAATAAACCAAGATTCCAGTCTTGGTGAGGCAGATACATTCAGCTGAAGAGTCCAAAATAGGACGAAACGACCGTCCTGGATTCGACTGTAAGCACTATCCATGATCACTATGGTACATTTTAGTACAAGAGAATATCTTAATGTAATCGCAGCGTGCTTACAAAATGAAAACAAGATGTTCCTGAACGTTTTGCTGCAAGGGTACTTATAAACAGAATAAAAGATTATGCCCCTTGTATTAACATGAAGGTATGGATTAATCCTTCAACAACGCTACTCATCATCATAGAACAGAACATAGAATGGCAGTCACCTCAATCAACAAGAGAAACCCAAAGCAAGTTATCTCTTCCACCTAGCTACCTACCTACCTAGGCAACATCGCCTCAACTACAGGCGGAACACATGAGCCTATCAAAGCCAGCACCGGAAAGACAACAAGACAAGTCTTCATTAATCTGAAATCAGTGTACAGGTCTACTGCACTTCACTGCACTGCATTCAGCATAAAACGTGAACAAGATCAGGATTCCCAACACCAATTCAGTCAAATCAGTGCTTATATGTGATGGTTGAGAGACTTGGCGTGTCATAAAAAGCATTTCCAACAAACTGAAGACATTCATCAACAGCTGCCGTCTACGCTCACTCAATACTGAAGATCAGACAGATCAAATGGCCAGAGTAATAAGAATGAGCAAGAAGGAACTCTGGATGTCAACGCACCAACCAAGAACCTATCACCCAACAAATAGGTAGGAGAAAGTGGAGATGGATTGTATTGGGCATAGATTGAGAAGACCATTCGGGTATGTCACGTGTCAGGTCAGAGCAGGTCACCGAGTGGAACTGAAATGGGAAACGACGAGTTGGGCGTCCGACGTGAGGGTGACATGGAGTAGATGATGTGGGGAAGAAATGAAGCTTATTGGCAGGCATTCGTGGAGGCAGGCTAAAAAGACTGCAGAGAACAGAGCGAAATGAAGACGTGTTACTGAAGCCCTATGTCTCACTAGAAACCCAAAGGACAAATAAATAAATATTGGTTCATTTGTAAGATGAATAAATGCTTTCTTTGAATATCTATGCTAATGTGCATGTATTCTCAAGAAGGACACTGGTGAGAATAACATACAGATAAAGGAATGTAGAACGTGATGAATTAAGTACTTCACTTGTATCTTCAAAGATCTAATGAATAAAATATCACCAAGGCTTGAAATCTACATATTTTTCTCGAGCTGCATTTAGCCGTTTAAAGACTATGAATTCTAAGATTTCAGGAAAGATATTCGCTAAACTGATTCTTCTGTGGTCTATGTCAATGTCTACGAATTCCTATAACTCAGAAGCAAGCAAAATACATAAATTGTGAAGACAACAGTTTCTGTTGTATCTGCATGACTAATCATACAGCCAGTAACTTTCTTATACTATAAAAAAAGCTTACCTTATCACGAACAGAATTGAGTTCAACAAGTAAAAAGTTGGTTTCAGGTGCTTTTACCGGCCATACACCTGGATATCGATCATAACAACAAGCCCCTAATTCAGTAGATGCTAAGCAATTATTAATCCAATGTGACAGTCCAGCACGACCAGCACCAAATTCTAGATATAAATTATTTGTAGAAAGTAGACCTTTATTCTCTAGAACTCGAATCAATCGCCCATTCTGATAAATATGACGATTTGATCCATGGATAACACGTTCTGGATTAATTTGGAAGTTAGCCTTATTGACTTGAAAATTATAAAAAATAAGGGATATATAAAATCTCTCACAAGTAAACAAAATAATAATATTTCATTAGTATAAGTGTAAAATTTCGGCACTTCAGTAGAATATAATTGTTCGTTAGATCTGTTTATTTGGTATAGTACACGTTCCGAGCATCAATTATTCCTCATAATCATATTGAATGTAATCACACTACTTTCAACAACCGATTTTTATAGTCCTATCACCTTATATTCTTCATTTCTTATGATAGTAAAATTTTCCATATCTCTGCTATGGAAACTAGAACCAGTTTATGAAGTCTCTTATTGATGATCTGAGCCGAGTGACCAGATGCAGACCGCTTCGCTGGGGTCCCATGAAGAAAATAATCAGTGCGTGGTGACTCTTATTTACATATCTAAGAGTCGATCACAATACCACAGATTTATTCACTGCTTGTCATATTCACACCAACCTTTATCTCCAGATTGTTTTTCATCTCATAGTACTTTATCTACTTTAATACCACTCTTTTTCTATCCACCCGTTCTTTGTATGTTATTGTGAAGTGTGGCAGGTTGCGCCGATGCACTTGTCTGCAAGGTTCCACATCGATTATATCTATCTGTCTCTGTCTCATATTCATTGTTCATGGATATAAAGATTTTCGCTTTGATGTCAACACTGGTAATTCATTGTAGAAACTTTCCAGTTAAACAATTGACTATATAATACAAAGCTGTTTACATATGATCAGTGCAGCATTTGGTGTAAGCTGTGCGGTTGATTTTACTTCCAACTGATACCATATGGCTGTCGAAATATTCATACCAACAACAATATCGAACGAGAAATTGTTTTCTCATTTATCTCATCTGTAGTATCCACACATGAAATGTTACTTTCTCATTAGATTTGTTTATTTGATGATGACATTTTGACCATAAATTATTGCTCATAATCATACCGAATGTAATCACACTACTTTCAACAACCGATTTTCATAGTTCTGTCACCTTATATTCTTGATTTCTGGTTGTAGTAGAATTTTCTATATCTCTGGTATAGGTGTTGTGTCATTTCTATTACATGTGTTGGGTGAATGTTGATTCGAAGAACAAGATTCAGTAGTCGATCTCTCCCCCCCCCCAAACTAACTATACTGTGTAGTTATGTGTTAATGCATTTATTGGAATAGCCTAGTACTTTTCTGGATTATTGATCTTATTCGGGTCTGTTATTCTACATTTGGGTAAATTCCTATGTTCTGATGATCTAATTGACACTGGCCAGCTAGTTTGACCTATGTACTTGTCCTCAAAGTCATTTCATGGAATTTGATAGATTATTTTGCTGAATTAAATCTATCCGACTTTTAAGCCGACAAAACTGATTTCTGACTGAGTTTGTAGATTTGAATGCAACGTAGAATTTGAGTAATGTGGTCATCATGAAAGCTGAAGGTTGTGGGTTCCATGTCTGGTAGCATCATTGGATCCGCATTGCTATGGTGTTCAACACTAGGATGAAACAGCTATTCAGTGCTTCCAGGATTTCAATGATTCTCCAAATCATACCAGTTCATGATAAATACCAACTTGATATTGTTCCTCACAAATGTGATTACTAATATTCTTTCAGTTTATGATACTATAACTACTAAATACTACAGTTACCTTTCGTACAACAAAATTTAACCATTTCTAAGCTGTACTTGTTTACTTTTTTGATAGTATTTTACAATTTATGAAAAACCTAACCATATTTCACTGTTCTGAAGAAATCACTGTAGAATAAGTCAACTATAGTTTTATTGTTATCGCTTGGATATAGAAAATATTTTAATGTAATCAGAAGATATAGATTACCTGAAAAATATGATTGAAGGCTTGACCGGTGATCTCATCAGTAAAGTTATTCTCTACAAGACATATGCTGATGATATAACTGTGATATGTGACAAGCATGAAGATGAGACGTGTTTGTTAGAAAGACTTAACACAGTACAATAAAAAAACATAAGCTTAACATGTAAAGAAGAGCAAGACAACCGTCTGCCGTTCTTGAATATATTCCCAAATCGTAGAAATGATGATTCAATAAAATGGCCAATTTACAGGACACCCAACTGGATAGGTCAGTACTTAAGTTTCTATAGCTTTTGTCCAACCCAATGCAAGCGAAGTTCGCTAACTCGTCTGTTCAAAAAGATCAATGGATGATGACATCAAAATACTAACTGAAACATTGATGCGAAATGATATCCATTTAAGCTTGTAAACCGCTGCAAAGATCAGACTGCATTGAAACCTAGTCTGTACTCTGCTACGAAGAAATGCGTTTAAATCACGTTACCATACAGAGGAGGATCTAAAATTATTATTTGTCCCGTAGGTTCGTCCTAGAACGAACATAGGGCTTCAGTAGCACGTAGCCATTTCCCTCTCTTCACTGCAATCTTTTCAACCTGGCTCCACGAATGTCTGCCCACAAACTTTCATTTCTTCCCCACATCATCTACTCCATGTCACACCTCACCTCGGACGCCCAACTCGTCGTTTCCCATTTCAGTTCCACTCGGTGACCTGCTCTGACCTGACACGTGACATACCCGAATGGTCTTCTCAATCTATGCCCAATACAATCCATCTCCACTTTCTCCTACCTATTTGTTGGGTGATAGGTTCTTGGTTGGTGCGTTGACACCCAGAGTTCCTTCTTGCTCATTCTTATTACTCTGGCCATTTGATCTGTCTGATCTTCAGTATTGAGTGAGCGTAGACGGCAGCTGTTGATGAATGTCTTCAGTTTGTTGGAAATGCTTTTTATGACACGCCAAGTCTCTCAACCATCACATATAAGCACTGATTTGACTGAATTGGTGTTGGGAATCCTGATCTTGTTCACGTTTTATGCTGAATGCAGTGCAGTAGACCTGTACACTGATTTCAGATTAATGAAGACTTGTCTTGTTGTCTTTCCGGTGCTGGCTTGATAGGCTCATGTGTTCCGCCTGTAGTTGAGGCGATGTTGCCTAGGTAGGTAGGTAGCTAGGTGGAAGAGATAACTTGCTTTAGGTTTCTCTTGTTCATGGGGATTGGTGCTTGTTGGTGGTTGGGTATCTTCATAACCTCTGTCTTCTTCATCGTTGCTATAAATAAAACACAAGGCATCCGCATAGGAGCCCATATGCCAATAGAGACTGATCAATTCTGTTCCGTTCGAGAATCTTGAACGTTCTACCAGCAAACCACAAACAGTACCCTCACACGACATAAAACTCACCATTTAATGACAATAGGATCGAATACTATACACTGAAGCTTGAAAACTCATCTCCTTCAACAAATTAGATCCTCAGAGAAAAAAATCGCGATATTACGAGTTGATTCAGACCCAGTATGAATCTTTTGAATCTATTCCAATGATCAGACCATTTCACAACAGAACCAACGTTTTAAGTTTTGCATTTAACCAGCTTTCATATAATAATAAGAATAATAAAGACTTCTCAAAAGACAGTAGTCTGCGATCGTTATCAGAAATGGCTACTGGCATATTTAAATAATAATAATAAGACTACTCTTTTCTCTTACGCAGAAATAGCTTCGAGACGCATTTGATGTAACCTCATATATTTGTTTACACCTCATTTGTATGTAATACTAACTACAATCTGACAGTATAGATACTAATAAACGATATGGATCTATCCTTCACTACATTATGAAGACTGTAGGGTTTACTGATAGCCAACATTTATCTCACTTCGTTGAAGACATTCAAGCAACCCTATCAAAGTTATACACAACTTCCATGGCTTCTTCAAGATCCCTCTAAACTCTAGGGTTCGCATAGTATTTTTTTGAAACAGAATTTAAGTCAACCGTCAGGAATATCCAAGGTTTATATTTATTGATGTACAATGACAGGCTTATTTTCAATCAGTGAAACTTCACCACAAACTACTACATCATCGCCTTTATTTTTCTGGCAATCATCGGAGTATTAGTCTGTTACCAGTTGCGTCAAAAATATTGGCTGCTACTATATTTCGCAGACTTTGCAGAACACGTAAGAAGCAGGCCGGGTTTTCTTCAAGTCATAGATGTACTGATCATGTGTTTACACTCCACCAGATGCTTGAACGTTGCCACATATATTGCAGGGTTAATAACAGTCGTCATGTTTCCTGATATTAGGGTTGCTTTCGAATTGTTGGGCAGAACTGTACTCTGGAATTGTCTGTTCGAGAGGGCGTGACTGAGAAATTTATTACAATCTTGCAAGGTCTATATAATAACACCTTGGGTAGAGTGACAGTATACAACTACCTGTCTCCGTTGTCGGAAATCAGCAGCGGGGTTAGTTAGGGTTGCCCGATTTTTTCGCTCCTCTTTAACTTTGCTATCTATGACATTCTTGAAACATTTCTGAAGGAGGTGAGTGATGGTGGTGTAGAACGGCTTTTCGACCTTGAATACGCGGACGACATCGCCTTACTGTGCAGTAAGACAGGCTATTCAAATCGCACTTAATCATTCGGTGATTTGTGTGCGTTAAGTATGGTATGTGCATTGCACCTTCGAAGTGTGAAGTACTTTTACAAGATTGACAGGAACCATTACCTACGCTCACCCTTGGTGGAGAACCGTTGGAAGTAGTCGGAAGGCCCGTGTATTTGGGTAGTTGTGTGAGTGTTGGTGGAGGTGTGTGAAGAAATTTCTAACCGCATGTCGAAAACCAGAGTGGTTTCACGCCTGTGAAATCTGGCCTTCCCAAGCTGAGGATGTACGACAACTCTGTTCGATGATCGTTGCCTCTGTAGGATTGTTGGTATCCAGTGTCAACATCATGTAAGTGATTCTGAGGTACGAAAACGTGTGGTTGGGCATGATGTACATCGTCATTCACTAAGTGAAGTCATCTGGAAACACCGGCTTCGGTGGCTTGGGTATGTGTTACGCATATCATCCCAACGGCTTTCACACCCTTCATTGTTTGTTAACCCTGGAACTGGATGGAAGAAGTAAAAGGGTGATCAGTGACGTGGCGCCGTGGGATAAAGGATAGTTGTTCGTGCATCACGACTCCTTGGAGGGTACGGGGTTATTGGCTTGAGATGTTACCACATGTGGCAGTCACGCTGTAGCTTCCATTTTCTGCTGCTGAAAAATAATCAATGTTTCGTTTTGAATGTATCTCATTGGACTGCCCTTCTAAGTATGCTATTCTTCGTTACTTTTCCACTTCCCATCGTTTATATCTTCACAATGTTATTTTACTATTTGTGCGGAGCATTTCTTGGAGCCTTTGCTGTACCATGTTTGTGTTTTAATAATAATAATAATAATAATAATAATAATAATAATGGAAATTTATTTCTTCGCATGCAGTCTACTTTGCAGAGATAAACAGTTGTCTCTACACATGTATATACGAACGAACCACACATTCGTGCGGTAGTAGTCAATGAGTCATACCTATTGCGTAAGGGCCGGTGATATTACTTGGCTGCCATAAACTTCGGTATGATGATTACAGTTGAAATGAAAACTCAAAAATTGCTTGTTGAAATCATGTTACGATCTGTTTTCTATTATTATTATTATTACATAATTTTTCCCCTGGGTTTCTAGTGGAGCATAGGACTTCAGTAGCACGCCTCCATTCCACTCTCTTCCCTTCAGTCTCTCCAACCTGGCACCACGACTGCCCACAAGCTTTCATTTCTTCCTCACGTGATCCCTTCCATGTCACCCTAGCCTCGGACGCCCAGGTAGTCGTTTCCCCCTTGGATTCCACTCCGCGACCTCGTCTGGCCTGACACGTGATGTCCCCAGTCGGCCTTCTCAGTGTATGCCCAATCCATCTCCACTTCCTTCTAGTGTATATTTGTTGGGTAATAGGTTCTTGGTTGGTTCCTTATTGCTTAATCTTTCTGGTCATCTGATCTTCAGTATCGAGTGAGCGTAGGTGGCAGCTGTTGATGAATGTCTTCAGTTTATTGGAAATGCTTTTCGTGACACGCCAAATTTCTGAACCATACAGCAGCACTGACTGGGCATTCGTGTTTAAAATCTGGATCTTGTTCTTTGTGCTGAGTGCACAAGATCTCCACACTGATTTCAGATTAATGAAAGCCTGTCTCGCTGTCTTTAAGATCCTGATTTTGACATTCTCGTCTGTGCCGCCTGTAGTTGAAATGATGCTGCCTCGCCTAATTAACTAGTTCACTAGTTACTAGCCGGTCGTAGGCCGGGTAAAGAGAGAAGGTTGGGCGTAGAGCTAGCAACCTTACTCTGTAAAACCAATCCAATCGCTAAAGAAACTTCTAAGCACAAAGATCAGTTTTTTATAGCAACTCCAACTATCAATCCCTTGAAAAAAGTTTAGTTTATCGAATTTCAGCTACCTTAAATATTCTAAACTATAGTAAAACCTAAAGTAAAACCAACTTCCATATTCAGTTAACATCGAAAAACTATACAATAAACAATCCACAAGATGAAGTAGAATGATAAGAAAAACAAGGGAATACCTTCATTATCTTCTTTTTTTACTGAAGTAATATCAGATTGTAGTAGAGGTATTTCTTTCAAACCTGGAAATCCATTCGAACACCAATGACGATGATTATTTAACGTGAAAGCGATGAGAGGATGAATATCACCAGTTGACAAATCATTGATATGATCAATTAAATTCAACTCTAAATATGCAAAATTAAGACTGAATGAGGATTAGCATGACTATTAACAATAATTAAGAACACAATATAAAGGTAGACGTTTTTCATGATTATTATTTTGTCCCTTAGGTTCCTAGTGGAACATAGGACTTCAGTAGCACGTAGCCATTTCCCTCTCTTCACTGCAATCTTTTCAACCTGGCTCCACGAATGTCTGCCCACAAGCTATCATTTCTTCCCCACACCATCTACTCCATGTCACCCTCACGTCGGACGCCCAACTCGTCGTTTCCCATTTCAGTTCCACTCGGTGACCTGCTCTGACCTGACACGTGACATACCCGAATGGTCTTCTCAATCTATGCCCAATACAATCCATCTTCACTTTATTCTGCCTATTTGTTGGGTGATGAGTTCTTCGATGGTTCGTTGCCACCCGAGTTCCTTCTTGTTTACTCTTATTACTCTGGCCATTTGATCTGTCTGATCTTCAGTATCGAGTGAGCGTAGATGGCAGCTGTTGATGAATGTCTTCAGTTTGTTGGAAATGCTTTTCATGACACGCCAAGTTTCTCAGTCATCACATATAAGCACTGACTTGAGTGAATTGGTGTTGGGAATCCTGATTTTGTTCACGTATTATGCTGAGTGCAGTAGATCTGCACTCTGAAGGTCTGTCTTGCTTTTCCGATCCCGCTTTGATGTTCTCATCAGTTCCACTGCTGCCTGTAGTTGAGACGATGATGTCTAGGTAGCTGAAAGATATAACTTCATTTAGGTTTCTCCCGTTGATGGTGACTGGTGCTTGTTGTTGGTTGGGTATCTTCATCACCTCTGTCTTCTCTGCATTCACCTCAAGGAAGTTCCGTCTTCGTTGCCTCATATAGCCTCTTCTGTCAACTTGTTGGTTTTTCCCATGCATCTTCAAGCTTGTGCGACATTAGACAAGTCATCATCGGCGGAATCCGAAATTTCTAGGGTCTTTTCATCGGTCAAACAGCGTATGGCCCTCTTCTCGCTCACCACAGTTTGCTGCATGATCCAGTAGACCACAATCAGGAAGATAATCCGTGACAGTAAACAGCCTTGTCTTACTCCTGTCTTCACTTCGAAGGCGTCACTGAGCTTTCCATTGTCAACCACTTCATATGTGGCGTCTTCATATAGCTGTTGAAAGAAGTTAATAAAGGGTTGTGTCACTAAAACCGCAGTGTTGAAGCAGTTGCCAAATTATTCCTCGGTCGACACTGTCGAAGACCTTTTCAAAGTCGATGAAGTTAAGGTAGAGAGTTGACTGCCATTCTATGATCTGTTCTATGATGATGCCTAGCATAGCATTGCAATGTGATCCGCACATGGTTTGTTCTTCCTGAATCCAGCCAGACTTTTCCGGTCGTACCCTTGACTCCAGAGCACTTTTTAGTCTCTCCGAGATGGTGCAGCTTAATATTTTGCTTGGAATAAATAACAGCATGATTCCGCGCCAGTTCTTGAAAACACTTAGGTCGCCCATCTTTGGAAGTTTGACAAGGTAGCCCCTCTTCCAATCAATGGGCAGGTGCCTTTCCTTCCTTCCTTCGAAACCTTGTGCAGTAGTAGTGTGAGCATGTCCGCTGCAGATGTCTCTGCGTCTGTTTTCAGTGCTTCTGGTGGGATTCCATCTGGTCCTGCTGGTTTTCAGGATTTTAGGACTTCACTTCTGGTTGTGTCGGAGGGCTTGTGTCCACTGATAGTTCTGTGGCTCGGCTGCTGGTAGTATTTTTGGACGAGTTGCAGGTGATGGTGGTGATCTGTTCAGGAGTTTTTTGAAGTGGTCAGCTCACTACTTTCTTTGTTTCTCCTCTTCAGTAACCAAGTTCCTTCACTATCTTTCGTTGGTTTCATCTGTGTTGTGCTGATCGCTTGACACCTAGTAATCTGGTTATTGAATACAATTTGTTCAGGTCTCTCCCACCAGCAACGTGTTCTGCTTCACTTGCAAGTGTGTCGTAGGAGTGTCTCTTGTTTTTGCGAGCACTCCTCTTCACTTCTTTGTCCACTGTTTTATTGGTTGTGTTCAGTTCCTCATTTCGTTGCTCATCCTTGCACTGCACTGGTTCATCTTCTGCTTCACCATCTTCCTCTCCCTTCTCTATCACCTTCCATGTGTCCGTGGAGATCCATCCTTTGTTCCACCTCTACTTTTTCCTTTCTAACACGGTTATGCAGGTTTCCCTCCATATGGCTTTCGAAAAGTTCGTGTTCTTCCACGCACGTTTCTTCCCGAATTTTGCTTAATCTCTTTCCTTTTTTCCTGATAGCTGACGTGAAGGTGTCCTTCGTCCTTCACTTCCTGCTCTGAGTGTTGAACTTGAACTGTGGTCGATCACCAACTTCTGTGAAGGTTTTCAACTTGATTTTTAAGGTTCCTTGCACGAGATATTGAGTGGTCTACATCTTGAAGTCGATCTGACTTTTAGTGTAGTGTGTCCATCTGGTGAAATCAAATCCATGTCGATTTGTGAATATCCTCGTATTTGCACACACTGCCTCTAATCACCAAATAGTTGAATGCGTAGAAGTCTGCAAGCAGTTCTCCATTCTCATTCATCATTTCACTGAGTGCCTCTCCACCCATGATTAATTCTCTTCCTGTGTTGTCTGCTCCCAGTCTGGCATCCACGTCACATATTAGAATTTTGATGTCACCAACTGGGGTGGGGTCTTGTCCAGTACTGATTGCAGTTGTCGATAGAATCCTTCCTTTTTTTCTTGGTCTGCATTATTTGTAAGTGCATAGCGTAGCATTGTGCGACGGTAACTGTCCTTCATTTTGAGTTGAATCTTGCTGTCATAATCCTGATCATTGAGGAGATTAGTTCCGATTACCTGAGAGCCTTCGATGCTCTTGGGGACATCATGATAGCCACTCCAAAACTCAGTGTGATCAGGGTTGTCGTCTGGGTGGCAATATCGGAGTAGATTTTTGACTCTCCAGTTAAGAGTTTGGAGAGTCCAGTTCCATCCCATCTACTTCCGCAGATTCCAAGCAATACCTTCTTATCTCTTTTGCAATCTGAGCAGCCTTCCCAGCCAGTTTCGAACATTGTGAGAACATTCTATGTCCCTATGTTTACTGTTGCTTTTATCGAGAGACAGAAGACACATTGGTCAATTGGCTTCCCAAAGGCTTTCGCCAACCGACGTCATTTTGCCTCTCAGAGTCCAGCGAGGAATAGGTTTAATTTTATGTTTTATATTTTCTTTGTGCTTTGAAGTTTCTCTAGCGATTGGACTGGTTTTACGGGGTAGGGTTGGTAGACGCATGCCCAACCTTCCCTCTTTATCCGGGCTCAGTACCGGCTAGTAACAAGTGGACTAGTTAACTAGGCGAGGTTTTACTGGACAAATACATGATATATATACATATATACGAAACCCTCAGAAAATGAAACCATAAATGAACCAACCCAATTTATTGTATGACGTCGAATTTGTCCAATCAGGTTATCATTTCAGTGCATCCATAAACCATGATCTGGAAACAATTTCTTTATTGCCTGCCTTTTTGTCGCCACAAGTCACTAAATACATAAAAATAAACGCAGGTTCATGTTCATTGATTTTTTTTCCGTTGCTGTACAGGGTCAAATTGTTCGACCTCTGTTGGCAGATGAGCTACTGTACGGTTGCTTTGATACTGCCCGAATATTCATATTGTAGTTTAATTGGTGACTAAGAGTGAACGGAACTCAATGGCAGCGTCTCGCTAGGAGACCAGATGGTTTTAGACTTAATCTCCTTCTCAGGGTCGTGGGTGAGCACAACTGATGAGCCCAAAACTAAGAAGAAACGGCTGTTCAATGCTTCCACGTTTTTAATGCTTCTTCAACCGATATCAATCCGTAAGGAATACTATGCTGGAATAAGTCGCCTTGTTTCATAAAGCGATTTTTATATTAGAAATAAGGACGCATATCCACCACAAAGTCCCTAGACAACAAGTGTATGAGAAGAATTTGAGTACGAGGCTAATATAATCAAACGTAAGAAAGGTCCCACTTTTTAATTCCTTCCAAGTGCAGTCACCTGTTTATTGCTTAGTAGCTGAGATGGGAATACCAATACTGAAAATTTACACCACAGGAACAGCTTCCACAGTCTCATCAGCTGTGAAGTACTAACGGTTCATACGCTTTCACCTCTGTCATCTCTCCTAACTTCACTTCATGATACCGATATTAAGCCTCTTACATCTCACTCAGTCTCTTATCCTTCGACAACCATTAGCGAACCAAGCCAATGAAACATCATTCGTCGTCTCCTAAAACTATACTGCTGATTTCACATTGAAGCTTTCAATGTCCCGAACACTATGCCGAATCGGATAACAAACATTTCTTGCAAGAACTCTGGAATTTCAAGTCATGGATGCACGCTGTGTTTCTGAAACACACATACAGGATTCAAGTGTGGTTACTCGTTTGAATTCACTTGGTCATCTTTTAAGTGTTCAGAGGTTCAATGACGAGCTTCTGTTAAACTCGCTCGTGTAGGCCTACAAATTAAGTTTTCGAGAAGAAGTGCACTTCACGATTAAAGGCCAGTCAACACCCGCCTGTATGCTGTCCCATAGAATGAATCTGTAAAAACTGAGAAGGATCGTAGCACCAGCCGATGTCTGTTTGTAGTCAACCCACAGAGCCACCAACTGCAGTTTGTATGATACAAAGGATAAGTTCTACCAAAAGCTGTCAATTTCCCTGAATAACGTAAAACATTTAGGTGAGGTTATAGTAGTAAGCGACTTCACCGCTTAATTAGAGAAGCTGAGCCGATCGGAAAGGTATCTAGGAGGTACCTACGGTGTCCCACTTCAACGAATGGACAATAGTGACTGTTTCTTACAATTTTGTTCTGACAATCACTTGTTTCTACTCAGTACTAATTTCAAGCATAAGGAGAGACAATGTTTCATTTGGTATCTGCTGGCCTCAAATCAACCGTTGATACCGACAGATAATACTGCTATAAGCCATTGT